GCATGGAGGTTCCTCAAGAAATTAAGAGTACCATATGATGCAAACATTCCACTTTGGGGTATTTATCCGAAGAAAACGGGTACAGTGAATGGGCACTAACATGTTCACTGCAGCATTATTTACGATAGCCAAGATATGGAAACATCCCAAGTATCCATTTCAGTCCGCAGGATATGGCCTGGTTTTATATGATTTGAAGTGAGACCGACCTGGGTACAAATCCCAGCTTTACTGTTTACCAGTTGTGTGCCATTAGGGAAGGCACAGGCCCTGAGCCTGTGTTGTCTCATCTGTAAAAAAGGGAAGGAAAGTAGTAGCCACCTCCGAGGGTGGTTATGAGCATTAAATGAGATGATGGAAGTAAAATGCTTAGCACAAGAGATGTAATGAGCACTCAGTAAATTTGGGCTCTATCATTTCCTCCCACATGGCACAGGAAGTGAGCCCATTCACCCAGCCATGGCCTTCGTCTCCACAGTCTGGTTAATTTCCTTCAACCGGGTGCCTGTGAAGTGGTTATAAGGAGGGCTTTGTTGGCCCCTAAGCACCCTCCCACACTCCCTTCTCCTCTGAGGTTTTAGCCTTGGCAGAGGAGGTGGACATGGCTTGCTTTTGCACTCCTTGCCACACGAGTTTTACTGACAACTGTGGTGGGTTGAGATCTCTGGCATGTCTTTCGAGCACCATCCAAGGCTATCCTGCCAACTCCGGTAGGCCCTTAACCTGTTGGCACCTCCTGTTCTTCAGCACGTGTTTAATAGAGAGCCCACGCTGCCACTCTCCTCCTTCCTAAGACAGCCGTGTTTTGCCACAAAACTAAAATGTTCTAAACGTGTTGATCAGTGTTTTCGTTAGCTCTGCTGTGTACGATGAATGATTCCCTGGAACTACCCGTCCACCACGCCCACCACCAAACATCAGTGGAATGCAAGTAATGTTCTGACCACTGGGTTGTGAGCAGCCTAGGAAGTCCACTCAGTGTACGTCTCTCTGAGTCCAGGAAGGAAAAACCAACATCCCCCGTGGTTTTTAGGAAAAGTGGTTTGAACCGAACTTTGGGGATGAAGGGTGGGCCGTGGGTTAGAAGTGTTATAGAATGTAATACATCCCCAAGTGTGGTATACATGCCTCCGCAGGCACACGAGATGGTTTTAAGTGGTACACAGATTTTTTTTTTCTTACCAGTTAAGCAGTTTAGTTAGTGTGAATTTAAAATATACGAACACCATGTTATCCTGTGACGTTGCAGATATTATGGCTTAGGAAAATGTTTTCAAAAATCTTGAAAATACGTTCCTTAAAATAGCTATATTCAATAAACAATTGTATTGGTGAAATGCACATATAGCCAAAAGGACGAAATTGTTAGAGGAAGGACTTTCCATGCCATCCAAATGGTTATAAGCTTCCGAGTCAGACAAACCTCATTCAAACCTGGTCTACCGCTTATCAGCTGTGTGACTTTAGGAAAGTAACCTAATTTCTCTGAGCCTCAGGGGGAAATGGAGTTGAATAATAGTACCAGCTTCACTGGACTGTTGTCCAGCTTAAGCCAGGAGCTTTACACTGTAGTGGTGTGAGGGCCCAAAACCTAGCGCCAGGTGGTCTGGTTTCCAGTCCTAGCTCTTCTGCTTACTAGCTCATGGACATTGAGCAACTTACGTCATCTTTCTGTGCCTTGGTCTCCCCGTCTGGAACATGGGACTCTTAGGAGGGTTAAATGAGTTACCACACTTGAAGTGCTTAGAAGTATTCCTAGTATATATTAAGCATTATGTGTTTCTTAGATTAAAAATGCATGCATATAAAGCTCCTGACACCTGACACCTAGTAAGTCCTCGTGAAATGTTACCCATTGGTGGTGCTTTGTATTGCCAATGCCTGGAACAAATCAATCTACAGTCAGAGTTTGATTAAGAAGCAGCATTTAATTGCCCAGGACTCATGGAGAATTGACAGGGCCCAGCACCTCTCTGCAGGAAAAATCAAAACACGGGGCCCCATGGAAGCTGGGCCTTCTTAAAGGACTGCCAGGAGTGGGGTTGGAGAGAGGGCCCAAGCTAGCTTTCTTTATCCTGTTAAAATAGGTGTGGGTCATCCCAATTAAGAGAAAAGGAAATTAAGCAAGCAGCCTAATGCCGCACGGCCTATATATGACAGAGCTCGGTAGAATGCTATCTTGATGGAGAACTCACAGCCCGAGGGGAGGAATAGAGAACTGGTCCAATGGCGTTCTGGCGAAAGGGATACTTTATGGAAAATCTTATGGTAGAGGAATGGTGATGATGATAGTAATGTAACAGCAATACCATTAACTGAGATTCAGCCACTGTTGCTGACTACCTCTAGACATTGTCCTATCTCCCAATCCTAAAACAAAACAAAACAAAACAAAACAAAACAAAACAAAACAAAACCCTCTTCTGTGATACCATTAACACTCTCTTCCTACCCACTGACCGGTATCCCTTTTCTTTGAAAGAGTACCCTATTTCTATCTCCATTTCTCATCCACCACTCACTCCTCAACCTACTGCGGTTTGCCTTTTCTTTCCCAACCCATCGCCGCCTCTTCTGGGACTCTAGACCATCTGCTCTCATCCGTTTTCCCATATTTATTCAGCAAATACTGAGTCCCTACCAAGCGCCATACATGGTACTCACTCCTGATAGGTGACAGCAAATGAGACAAGGTCTCTCTTCTCAGGAAGTTCACATTCCAGGTCAAAGCAAAAATTGGATCTGCTGACTGAGTGCCCTCAAAAGCAGTTCACTGGATGATGGAGACGATCACTAACAGCGGGGCACATGATGGTCATACCCTCAGAATAGATACTGTTATCAGGGCGAACCTGTTTGAGCACCTTCTAAAGGTAGGTAGAGCAGAAAGCTCCAGGCAGCACATTGACATTCTTAATCTTAGGGCATCTTGGAGCCCTTCTTGTGAGAAAATGCAAAATCACTCACTCAGGGATTGTGACAACAACTCCTTTTGAAGAAAGAGCAATGAGTTGGAGAAGGAAGTAGGGCGATTAGTGTCGGGCTTGCATTTCAGTGAGGTTAAGAAATAGATGTGAACGCTGATAAAATTGGGAGTAAAGAAAGAGCTCAGATGAACTTACAGCTTTCAGATCACTTCTGATTGGGGAAGGTAGGCCTAAACGACATCGGCAAACAAACCACACAATACGTATCTCCGGGCTACATACTCCTTCGAAGGGCCTCCAATGAAGGGGTTCCCTTCCACAAATTTAAGGAAATTTTAATATCGGAACAGCGATAATTTACTTAAATAAACCAAGAGAAAAGAGTGTTTGCAATGGCTGCTAAAGCTACTGAAAGGGCACGTTTGAGATCTAATAAGTGACCTGGAATGGCTCAGAACACCAGAATTGTTACTCTGCGCACATAGGTCTCAAACAAAATCTTAATACCACCTTTGCTGATGAGATGCTACTACCATCCTTATTAGAGCCAGAAAGTGACAAGAAATCTTTTTATCAGCATTACAGTCCAAAAGTATTTGTGAATATTTGGAAATTAAATTTTAAAAAGATTTAAACGCTAAAATAAAAGAGAACCTAAGTAGTTTTAGTTGACCTGATTGCACTGCAAATGAGTAAATATGTAGAACAGCTTTATCTTGGGAAACTTTACACTCTTAGAAATAAACAGGAACCTTAGCAGACTCTAAGCAAATGCAACCTGAAGTCAGGCATGGTGGTTGTTTTTTTGTTTTGTGTTGTTGTTGTTTTGTTTTGTTTTGTTTTTTTACCTCATAGACATATTTGCAGTGTCTATTCCAGATAGAGTAGATACCAAGAATTCCGTTGAGTGAATGAATGAGCCATATTTTCAATCTTTAGGTAGTAAGAATGGTGGGGGGTGGGGGGGGACAAGATAAAGAAGATGACGAACTTAAATGAGAGGTGGTAAGAAGTAACCGAATACAGTTTTCTTAAGCACCAGGAAAATTATTTCAATTGTATGTCTTTTCTCCACATTTTCTTATGGACCTTGGTGGAGCGTGTGGATCTCCTGCGTTCAAGAACTGATCTTGCACTTACGAGTTTTGGGACTCTGTGCTCTCTGGATCTGAGTTGCTTCTGTAATAAACTAGTTATGATAGCATTGTTGTAAACACCAGGTAAAATAGTACCTGTAAAAGTATGCCGTAAACTAAAAAACATTGTACAGTGCGAGGGTGATATTACCACAAATGTGACAGTACTGCTTTCTCTGCTGTTGAAATAAAAGACCTGATTAGAGAAACAAACAAAACAGAAACAAGTAAATAAATAAAGAGGAGCCACCAAAGCTGTTTGGTCAGTAACATCTGCCAATATTTACTGTACACAGTATCACGACAGAAATTTTCATAAATGTATTCCAGAATCCATTTAAAAATTGTAATAGGAACCCATTCTATGACGTTAACATAAATTTCAAACGCATATGAAAAATATTTTTTTCTATAAAAGCGTAAAGGAGATGGACGTTGCTTCAGATACTTAAAAGTCTCCTCAATAACCCGCCTAACAGAAGTCAGATGGATTCTTATATCAGCTTCTGCACGTTATCTGTTGCCATATCACCCATAACGAACCTCTGAAACATTCACCACACGCTCATGAGAGAATGAGAGAGAAAAAGGTAAACATCATTATAACAAAAATAACCCCCACTGAGGCTGACCTACAGAAATATCTAGCAGAGATGACTGCTTGGGAAAGCCAAGAAAAGCGGCATGGTTAAGGAGAGTCCACAGTTGTCCAAGGAATAAACTGCACTCAAATATAGATTAAAGCAGTGCCGATCCTGTTTGGCTCAAAGTAAAACTACTTTAAATATCTGCAGAATGCCACAACAGGGACAAAACTCAATGCTCTCTTTGGCAGAGTTTGTCCCACTTTTTAAAGCTACAGGTCTTTTCCCGCCAAGTGAGGTGGCTCTGAAAAGAGCCTTTGGTTTGCGAGGTGGTCAGGCGGTCCGGAGGCAGCTCATTGGCGGAGGGTGTACCTGATGATGGCTTGGGTGCCCTCGGACACGGCGTGCTTGCCCATCTCCCCGGGCAGCAGCAGGCACACGGCTGTCTGGATCTCCCTGAAGGTGATGGTGGAGCGCTTGGCGGAGCGGGCCAGGCGAGAGGCCTCGTCGGCGATGCGCTCGAAGATGTCCTTGACGAACGAATCCAAGATGCTCACGGTCTTCTGCGAGAGGCTCAGGCCCTCGTGAACCTGCTTCAGAACCCTGGGGAAGTAGATAGCGAAACTGTTGGGGCAGCGGCGGCGGCGGCGGCGGCGGCGGCGGCGGCATTGGCGCCTTGGCTGCTCGTGCTTCGGGCTCTTCGGGTCCACTTCTGTGGGCTCCTCCGTGCCCACGCATTCGCCAGAAGAGGTCTCACAGCCAGGCTCAGCCATGTGGGGCTCGCCTTCCCGACAGCTCGGAAGGAAGGACAATGGCGGCTGCAGAGGGGCGCTGGCCCGTTTATAGTCGCTGCATTTCCTGACGTCACGGGCAACCTCCATATCTGATTGGACAAAATGCAATGCAGGGAAGTGGGGCTCTATGCCAGGCCGTGTCCCCTGTGATTGCATACCCTCGAGCTTCACATCACATCACATCGGACAATCAGAGAGGGAAATCCGGTGCCCTCTAAACTTCTTGGGACCTCGGTCAGAAAATCTTTCAAACATTCCATTTCATTGTGCATTTTGTCTGCTGATTTTCAACATCAAAACAGTAACAGATCTGAGGAGAGTCCTGTTTTTATTGGAATACTTTATATTGCACATCATTACCTTATTTCTGATAAGCAGTAAGTGCCATTGGATCAGGACATGCTAGAAACCAGGATGCTCTGGAGACCCAGAGTCAATGTGTCCATCTCTGAAAATGACAGCAAAGGTAAAGTGGTGGTGATGGAAACACATGAGTACATTGGGAGAGAGGAGGAAAATGATGCCTGGGCTTAAACAGTTCATGAATGTGTAACAGGAGGTAGCCATATCGGAGCACCTTCCCTTTCTATTCAATTACTTTGTGTGGGGGGGCGGGGGGAGGGACCCCTTTTTGGCAGGTAGGGAGCAGCACACAAGAAAGGGTGGCATAAATTGGACCAGTCCCTTTTCATTTATCTACCCAAAGACAGTATATTAAGGAGTTACAATTAAGAGGTGTGTGTGTGGGGGGGGGGGGGTCGGATATCAACTGGTCATAAGTAATTACACATCTCATAATAGCTCCTCGTGGTGCTAGTTTGTAAACGCTGTAAGGGAGGGCCAGCAGAATGGGATAAACCAGAGCTGAAACTTATTTCCCCATGTTTTCTGCACAAAGCAAGAGGTGAGGATATGAGATTGGCGTGGTTGTCTGTGGAACTGCTGAAATGCCTGGTGCCCTCTGAATCTTCAGGTATGTCCACAAGAGATAGCAGGAGATCCCAGAAATTCTCAAGCAGAGCTCTCATGTGCATGCCTGGCCTGCCCTGGTGGGGCAAGACCAGAGCAGTGCCCAGTAGTGTCCAGAGTAGAGTGGAGAGAAAGTCAAGCAGCCGGGAATCCCCAGCGAGCCTCCATTCTGTCACAGTCACTTGCATACCTTTTCTTTTTTCTTGCCAAGCAACCAGATGCTGATCTTCACAGATGGCAAAACCACGACTAACAAATAAATCAGAACAGGCCTGGGCACACACAGGCCAGTTTGTCAGGACCAGTTTGCTTACCTTTCCAAGCAACTACTATCATTGTCAGCTGCTCAGCCTAACCCAACAGGTGCCACTACAGGAGAGGAGAGGGAGAAGGACCAGTCCCAGAGGGCCCATTCCCGGTGTACCCCAAAGTCCTCTTCCTCCTGACAGCCTGGAACCTGCAGCTACCGCAGATGGGCCCCTCTGAAGATCCTTTCCCCTCTTCTGGCTTTCCAGGCATCGTATCAACTAATCAGAGTTGGTATTAAGCTTCCTGTCGCCTCTCTCAGAAGTCCTACACAAACACGCCAGTGAGAAGAAAGGTCAACCAACAACATTTGTTCACTGATGCCCCAGCAGGGGAGCTCCGGGAAGACTTCACCAGAAGCACCAAAGATTGTAGGCTTTTCAACTTCGGCTTACTGAGAGAGTCTGACCTCCATATCCCAGGCCCCTCGTTCCAGAGGAATGACTGGCCAATTGGGGGCCATTTCTCCTACTACTCAGAATGGACTGTTGTCCTGGGCTAAGCCACCATAGCTTGGGCAGGAACTCTCGCATGGCCAGCAGAGTGCTGGTGCAAATCAAGAGACATAATTGACAAGCACCTGCCCCGAGTTCTGACCAAGACCCTCAGGAGAAATGGCAAAAACCATAGTCTCCAAACACACAGCACACAAAGAAGTAGTCATACAGATAAAAACACCAAAAAGGTTTTTAATGCTTTTAGCAGCATTTGCCAAGTTTAAAATTGTTTTCTTAACACTAGTTTGGTTGTAAAAACAATACCCGCACACTAGAACTGCTGACCAAATATAAGTGTTGTTGGCTGAAAAAAAAAAACAAAAAACAAAAAAAACCACACACGCGCGCACACACACGCACACACACACACACACACCAATTTACCCAGATTGTCTAAGAAACCACCAGAGGGACCTCTACTAATCAACTCTTGTTGATCAGACGTTGGATGTGGCCATCACGGGAAGTCCCAGAGCTCGGACAAGGCAGCTCTCTGTAGCTGAGGCAGTGCCTAAAAGGGCTAATGGCTGAGGACTGCCAGCTGACCGCACTCTCAGCAGCTGAAGCAGAGTCTGTCTTTGAGGAGAGTTCTGGTTGGAACATCCTCATGTCTATCATCGCCTCATTATCAAACGATACTCTGGCTACCCAGGCAACCGTAGTTTGACAGTCGTTTTCTCTCAGCACTAGCTTTTGGCTTCCATTTCTTGGCGAAAAGAGGTATGTTATCACATTATTTGGTATTCCATTTTTAGGCACCGTGCCCTGTTGTCTGCTATCTTGCTCTCTATGCTTATATCCTAGCTTTACTGCAATGTATCCACATGTGCTTCCTGAATCCGGGATGTCATGGCTTCCTTAAATTGGGGGAAATTACCAGACATTTGTCTTTGAATATTATTCTTCCAAAATTCATCCAAGTTTCTGCTTCTGGAATGCCTATGAGATGCACTTAATAACTACTTACCCCATTCCTTATGTCTCTCTGCCTCACTCTCATCCTATTTTTGTCTTTATCCTTCTATGAGGCGTTCTGTCTTATTCCTTTCACCTATCTTCTAGTTCACCCATTCTCTCTATCTGGTATGTCTCCTTTGTTGTGTAAACTTTTGTGGATCTTTTAATCTAGCGGTTCCTATTTTCAACACTAGAAAACCATTTAAGACATTTTTGATAACTAGTCGCTTCCTACTCATATTTTACATGTCTTGTAATTATTTTTTAAAGATTTTACTTATTTATGTGTCAGAGAGAGAGAGCGCACAAGCAGGGGGAGCGGCCGGCAGAGGGAGAAGCAGGCTCCCCGCTGAGCAGGGAGCCCGATGTGGGACTCGATCCCAGGACCCTGGGACCATGACCGGAGCTGAAGGCAGATGCTTAACCGACGGGGCCACCCAGGCGTCCCTCTTGTAATTATTTATATAAACGTTTTAACCGTTTTTTAAAGTTGGCATTTGGTAATACTACTTTGGAACTTTCCAGTTTGGTTTCCTGTTTGATTTTGAGAAGGGTGGCTTGTTTGGGGATTGTGTGCGTGTATAGGAGGACTTTATCTGCAAGAATCCTGTAACAACCTCAATTAAGGTTACTCCTCCGGGAAGGATTAGAAGTGCACTTGCCATGTGTCTGGGTTTGTGAATGGGAACTGTTGGCATCGTGCTGGTAGTGCTAACCCGAACCCCAGAGCTACGCCAGGACACTCGTGTGAATGCACATCCTCAGGGAAAATTTTTTTCCCCCTCACTCAGAACTAAGGACCGGGAATAGAATTTTCCTCGGCGTCTCCTTTTCCCAGTAGGGAAAAGTCCAGTTTTCTCAAAGTTTGTAGTCATTCAAGCACCACTTCATGCAAAGCCGAGTATGTAATGCGATGGGTCTTACTTGCTCAGGCCCATGTAGCAAGCGGTAAACAACAACAACAACAACAACCACAACAAAAACTGTACATTCAAATAGCCTGAGTTAAAATACATGGTCGACATCAAGGGAAATCTTTTTACTACTATTAATTTGAACAATTCTCCTCTGACCTGATGGAAGTGGTGAGAGATACGTCCACGCACAGGCCTGGATTCATATCCTTCTCCTCATGGCTAAAAGCATACAACTAGTCAAACAAAGAAACAAACAGCAGGTAAAGTATCATACCAGATTCCCCCTCAACCGCAGAGGCTGAGTACCCAGTAAGACTCTTACTGGTTCAGCCTGAGACACCTGACCGCACACTAGGCCCAATGCCGTGAGTCAGCGGCTCCACATCCCTGATAGCTGATTGGCTAACTCCCAGCTGACTGAGGCTTGAGTTGCCTTGACTAGCAGCCTCCATCATCCATTGCAGAAGCCGATCTGCAAGTCCTGAAGATTTGTGATTTCCACAAGAAAAGATTACAGGCTTGGGAAGTATAGAATCAGATAAATCTGGGCTACTTGAAGTGTTAGCTACAGTTACCAGGGAGCCTGAAATAGGAATTATTTCCTGAACTTTTTGATTTAGCGATTTCTGTACTGAGTTTGGGTTTTCTCTTCTGTTTTTCCAAGAATTCCATTAACAAAAGTAATGTTGAATAAGTTTGATTGGGGGTGGGCACGCGGGGGCTGCGTTGTTTAAGCGGCTGCCTTTGGCTCAGGTCATGATCCCAGGGTCCTGGGATGAGGCCCTCATCAGGCTCTCTGCTCAGTTGGGGAGCCTGCTTCTCCTCTCCCTCTGCCTGCCGCTCTGCCTACTTGTCCTCGCTCTCGCACCCTCGCTCTCCATCAAGTAAATAAATAAAATCCTTAATAAAAAAGTTTCATTAGGGGATGTTCGACTCATCAGTACTATTTTCCCAGGGTTGTGGCTTATAATTTGTTACTTAAGCAACAAATCCACTTCTCTCAATCAGTCTTTACCATTAACCACACTATTAGAGAATGAATGCTCAGCAGATGCCCTTTGTCCTCAGTTGCCTTCAGAAGTGATCAGAGGCACTCACTTCCCTTTTGTCTAGGCCTCAACATCCATTTTTCCTCACTGCATCTTGGAGTTTGTATCTGTCACTCACCTTCACACTCCCAGTCTTCACAGTCTATATGGTGCATTCAATGTTGTTTTACTCATGCTGCTATTTGATTTCTGAAATTGCGGAGCAAAGCACCCAAAGGAGTGCAAAAATGACCTAACGGATTCCATTTCTTAGTATGACTTCTCACATAAAACGATACATATGGGACCAGTACGTAAGAGCAAGACGCAAAACCTTTGTGTGCCATATGGACAAACACGGGGACTTTGAAACAGCAGCAGTGAGCATGATAGAAAGGAAGTGCCTCAGTGGA